AATCTCACGTAGAGGTTTTGATTTCAAAAATAATTTTGTATTGTGTGGGGATATATTTTCTGAGTACCAACACGTGGCCTAGGTGACGCCGACGTGTCAGCCGAGGTGCCACGTGTCCTGGTCATGATGCCGAGGTTATCTCGGCAAGGCCGAGATTATCTCCGAAGATATCGGAATCCGAGATAAGTGGATAAGGCACAAGAGTCCTAGAATGATGAAGGACTTTAGTATGGATAAGGATAACACCCTTAGGAAGTTTATCTTTATCTCTTGGAAAGTCTAGGATAAGCACTAAGCAGAAGTCCATTGAAGCTAGGCTTCTATGGGGACTAGGATTGAGTTAACTATAAAAGAAAGGCACTCCCGATGGGTCTAAGGTACGCAATTTATATTCTGAACAGTGAGTTTAGCACTATTGATTATCTTTGAGAGATATATTGACTTGATCATTGGAGTGCTCCCGGGTGGACGAAGCACTGCCGGAATCTTCTCTTGCTGTTGCAGGTCAGACAGGTGCCATCTATGCTGCCAGTGCTCTCCAGCTGAATACTGAGTTGGCAGTGTGATCGGAAAATCACTCACACAATTTGGCGCTGTCTATGGGAAAGAAAGGAGAATAGATGGCCAGCAACGGACATAAGGATAAGGTTGGGGACGAAATCCCTGCTGGTAGTGGAAAACACGTTGACCCAAACGTGGAGGAAAATGGTCGCAATGAGGAGACTCAGAACCAGAATCACGGCAAGAAAGACGTCGGCCAAGATGACGACGTGCCAAAGAAACTAGATCGAAGCGGATACTACAATGAGGACGACCTCCAGGTATGGAAGGATAGATGGCTGCGAAGGACGAAGAGGTAAAAGAGATGGCAAACAAGTTGGCAGACCTGCAATCGGTCGTCAATTTTATGATGCAAAATAACGTCATGCAGCCACCATTTCCGCTGCAGGACACGCTGATTTCAGCAGCCAATGCCCAAAAGGGAGGGCAGAAACCAATCCCAATAGCCCCTCAGCACACCAGGAGTGAAAGATACTTTCACCGGCCTTCAAGGGAGGTCGGGCGAGGAGAGTCAAGAAAGAAAAAATCGCGGAGGATGAATCGCACCAAGGTAGCAGACCCCAGAGAACATCGGCATGTTTAAAGACAGGAGCTGTGTTTCGACACAACTCATGAAGAAAGGTAAAAAAGGGCTCACAACGAAGCTAAGAGCAATGCACCTAAAAGACTGAAATCAGGAGATAGCCGAGCTCCTGGGCGGACAAAGGAGGACTTGAGAGATTACCTCAAGAGGAAGCAACAGAATGCCGATGCCGAGGTAACCTCACCTGTTAAGCCGAGAACACCATTCTCGGTAGAATTGGACAAATTTGAGGCGCCGAAAAGATTCAATATGCCGAGGTTCCAAATATACGATGGTAAGTCAGTCCCTAACTTCCACGTTGGATTATACTTGAACTCAATGGCATTGTATAGTGAGAACGAGCCGTTACTCTGCAAAGTGTTCCCCTCATCCTTCAGGGAGATTGCATCAGATTGGTTTCACAAACTACCAAAGAGAAGTGTGAAGACCTAGGAAGGCCTGGCCGAGATGTTTGTGGCCAGGTTCGTGACAAACAAGCTGCAACCATTAAAGGTGGACACATTGATGGCTCTGAGAATCAGTAAGGATGAAGGCCTTAGGGTCTATGCAAAAAGATACTATGAGGTGTTCAACCGAATATCCAAATGCAACCAAGAGGTGGCGGTCGTGTCTTTTAAGAATGACCTGAAAGATGATTACGCTCTACGGAAGTCACTGGCAAAGACATTGCCAAAAAGCATGGAAGAGCTCATGGCTAGAATTGAGAAGTATGCCAGAGCTGAGGAAGATACATCGGGGACAAAGGAGACAAAGCAAGAAAAAGGAAACAGCTTGCCGAAGCGAGGCCGAGGTAACAATGGATCCAACAAGCAAGAGGTAGGACTGGGGCTTACACAGGCAATTACAACTGTGTTCCGAACCCCAATTCACAAAGTCCTGGATAAGATTCGGAACCAACCCTATTTCAAAGCGCCAGCGAGGGCACCAGGAGAGTTTATGGGAAGAAACCTCGGCAGACATTGTTCTTACCACAGTAAAGATGGGCACATGACTCAGGGTTGTAGAGCCCTGAAAACACACTTAAAAGACCTGGTGAGGCAAGGCCATCTGAGAGACCTTGTTGATGAGGGCAGGACAAGGGAAGAACAGGCAAGACTGCCTCAGGCACCCGCAGCCCCGCCTCCCCCAGCACAGCAACCTCAGGCAGGAGGATCTCGGGTAATTAATGTAATTTACTCGAAGGTCAACGAAAACGAGATTCAGGGAGAGACCCAGAAGGTAAAACACCTACAACATGTCTACCAAGTCGGGGAGAAGAGACATCGGGCAGAAGAGTGCTAAAGACCAGTAGTGTCCTTTACTGAAGCCGACCTTGAGATGGTGCAGCATCCACATAACGATGCCTTGGTAGTATCTCTCGAGGTTGGAGAATGCCAAGTGAAGCGCATATTAATCAACTAAGGCAGCTCTTGTGACATCATATACGTCAGATGTTACGAGGAGCTTGGCTTTCACCCAGACGATATGGAGCAATTCAATAGCCCAATGGTTGGGTTCAATGGGACACCAACATGGCCACTGGGAACGACGAGCTTGGAGGTGCAGGCTGGCACCAAGAGGATAAAGACAGAGTTCACCGTAATCGACACACTATCCCCTTACAATATCATTTTGGGAAGGCCATGGTTGCATGCGATGGGGGCTGTTCCCTCGACATTGCATCAACTATTACAGTTCCCAACAGAACATAGGATATAGGAGATTAGAGGAGATCAGCTGCAGGCAAAGAATTGCTCCATGACAGCAATGAAATCCACTTGCAGCATACGAGAACCAGAGAAGGTAGAGATCGAAGACGAGGACGTGGAACTCCTAGAGGATATCGGCAAATAGCCAGCTGAGAAGGGTGAAGAAACACTAAAGAAAGTCCTCGTCCAGGAGGGGGATGAAGAACGCTTCTTTCTTCTCAGTTCAGGCTTAGCCGACGAAGAAGAAAAAAAAAGTTAGAGGCGTTCCTGAGAGCAAATATTGAGGTGTTTGCCGAAGTAAATAAATAAAGTTTTGCTCTTTTTCATTTGCCGAAGTAAATAAATAAAGTTTTAGCTCGACTTATTTGTTTGTACACTTATGACTGATAAAGATACATAACGTTATTTCTAGAATACATGTATAATGAGGTGAAACTTAGGTTCGCATTAGGGGGCAGAGAGAAGAAAAATGGTTTTAACACTTGTTGAAACTTAAAAAGCTTACAAGTTGAAGTTAAACCGAGATTATGTTTAACACTTGTTGAAACTTGAGAAAAGTTTACGAGTTGAAGTTAAACCGAGATGATGTTTAACACTTGTTGAAACTTGAGAAAAGTTTGAAAGTTGAAGTTAAACCAAGGTTACACACTTGTTGAAATTTGAGAAAAATTTACAAGTTAAAACCAAAGTTGTATTAAGCTAAATACCTGCCGATGTAAGCCGAGGTGTTTCACCCTGAGAAGATTGCACAAGACTAAGTTGCATTTTGAAGACACAAACTTATTCTAAGTATGAAAGTCATACAAGAGCAATAAAGGAAAGACAAACATGCAAGCATCCAAGAAATAAGGAAGTTGTATTCATAAGAAAGCACATTGGCCATATGAAGAGTTTACACTGTCCCAAAAACAAAGAAATACAAAGGGCAAAAAAACAAAGAAAAAAGACGCCAAAATTAAGATTCTTCAGCATCATTAGCAGGCTGGGTTTGGATCTCGAAAGACTGCTGAGAGAACATCTCGGCCGCCTTCTCGACCGCAAGCTCGGCGTCAATTTCTTGAAGGATCAGATCGAGGCTCTTGTCGGCAAAGGGAACGTCCGATGACGCCTTCTCAAGAGTCGCATCCTTGGGGACTTCCTCACCCTCCTCATCTTGAGTCAAGTCCAGGACTTGCTCATTCAGAGAAGGGGACTTGGTCCCTGCAGCCTCCTTTGATTTCCTCACCAAGGTCTCCTCCTCAGACTCAGATTCGTCGTCGGATTGAGTTAGAATTGGAGGGAATGGAAGAGGAATGACGTCGGCATTTCTCAAAAGCGAGTCCTCAAGGATATTAAGCTTTTTTAGAAGGGACATCTAACCAAGGGTGAAACCCTTGTTACATGCCTCCTTCACTTGCTTTTCGTAGGCCTCCGTCACATCGGCCATGCCCTGGGCATACGCCTTCTTGTCGGCATCCTTGATTTCAGCCTCTTTGGTAGCCAAGGCCTCCTGCAGCTCTTTGCCGATGTAAACCGTTGGTGGGTATAGCCGAGGTATTCGACCCCCAGAAAATTACACAGATAGAGTACATATTGAAGAAATTCAAAATATTCTAAGTATTGAATCATACAAAGAACAGTAAAGAGAAGAATACAAGCATGCATGAAAGGAAGCTGCATTAACAATCAAAAGGAGGCACATCGGCCACAAGGAAAGCTTACATTGTTTCAAAAAAAAAAAGAAAAAACAAAGTGCAAAGCACAAACCGAAGAAAAAAGACATCAAAATTAAGACTTCTCAGCAACAGCAGATGGTTGGGTTTGAAGCTCCGAAGACTACTGGGAAGACATCTCGGCGGTCTTCTTGACGCCTTCTCAGGAGTCGCATCCTTGGGGACTTCCTCACCCTCCTCATCTTGAGTCAAGTCCAGGACTTGCTCATTCAGAGAAGGGGACTTGGTCCCAACAGCCTCCTTTGATTTCCTCACCAAGGTCTCCTCCTCAGACTCAGATTCATCGTCGGATTGAGTTAGAATTGGAGGGAATGGAAGAGGAATGACGTCGGCGTTCCTGAGGGGCGAGTCCTCGGGGACTTCAAGCTTTTTTAGAAGAGACATCCAACCTAGGGTGAAACCCTTGTTGCATGCCTGCTTCACTTGTTTTTCATAGTCCGCCGTGACATCGGCCACCCCTTCGTTATAGCCCTCCTCATCGGCGGCCTTGACTTCAACCTCTTTTGTGGCCAGGGCTTCTTGAAGTTCTTTCTGGGCCTGGGTCATTTTTTCTTCGGCCTCTCTCTTTTCGGCCTCAAGAACCTTCTTAATGGCCTCGGCAGATTCTGTTTTTTCTTCGGCGACATTTTGGGCCTTGATAGCAGCCTCGGCTTGATCTTCCAAGGTCTTCATCCTGGATTGCAAGCTTTTATTAGTCTTTTGCACACTAGTAGCCTCCCTCTTCTTGTCGTCCAATTCTTTCCGGTTCTCAAAGGATTGTATTGTGAAGGAATGAGCATGCTGGGATGGACTGAAAGTGAACAGGACAAAAGTTATTAGAAAATTTTCTAAGTACAAGAAAGAAAGAAAAATGACCAAAAAAAGACACTCACTTGGACAGAGCGCTGGAGCATCAGAGCATAGTTTTCATATTTACTTAACTCGGCATTTCGGTCGAGATTGCCGGAAAGAAGCAGAGCGGTACTAAGGGCAACGCCGACGTTGATGTCATCAACGCTGTTGCTAGCCCTAACTGGCTTATCCTCCAGTGTGATTTGGGGGGCCCAGGGAGAATCTTACTTTCGAGACCCCGATATGGTTGTAGCGGATAACCTCGGTTTCTTTGATTTTGGGGATTCAGATGGTTGAGCCTCGGCTGGCCTCTTCTCGGCAGCAGATGTAGTTCTCTCACTCGAAGCTAATTTCGAGTTTGGTAAAGTATCTTCAGTATCAATTTGAGTCACCTTTTTTTTTATCCTTTTTGTCTTTGGCTTTGGCTGGGTTGGCGCTGATTGGGCATAAACTGAATCAGGAATATTGGCCAAAAGATCCTTCGCAACTGCTTTTTTGACGGCCCATTTTAGTAGTAAAAACTATTCGGCGTCGTCGACGGCGTTGGGATATCGAGATCAGATCTGGAGTCGAGGTAGACGGCTGCTCAGCTGGATCAGAGGTCGATCCTTGATCTGGCCGAGATGAGGAGACAGCTTGAGGAGTTGTGGCAGAAGGCGGAGATAGACTCTTCTTCTTCTTCTTCTTTGGAACGTCGGGAAGAACCGACTTGTAAGAGGGAATAAAATTGAGTACAAGAGGGGCTCTCCGCTTGAGGACTAGCAAATCCAACAGTTTCCTCAAGCCTTTGCTGGGAAAGAAAGACTGACGAAAGTCCTTTGGTGGCTGAGGAAGAGCTGCAAGAAAAACAGACATTAAAAACAAACAAAGTATTGAAGGCTTTAAAACAAATAAGTTAATATGGACACAAGGCTCTTACCATTGCCCTCTACAAAAACTGTTTGAGAAAGAGGGTAAATATGGAGGTCCTCATCTGAAGCGAACTCCCAGTTCCCCGAGGTAATGAAGTAATCGTCTCCAGCTCCCTTATTGGAGTCTGGGAAGTCGGCTACGATTTTGTATTTTGTGGATCTCGGCTTGAGGTAGTAAACGTAGCTGTAGCACGCGTCCCGCGAGGGGCCCCTCGCTACTACAGTTCGGACTCGTGATTTTGTTGTCGCGGTTCTTAATCTGAACCAAAGAGTCCAAATCTGGCAAATCGTTTTGAGAAACAGATTTTTGAAAAAGTAGTGCCAAACATGGACTGCTTTGCCAGATACAGAGTTGCCACCTAAATATTTTATTAAGGGAGAATTTAGGAAACCCTGACTCGGTGCCAAAGGCCACGTGTCCGTCATCACCAAAGTTGCCTCGGCTCGGGAACTTGGATACGATCGGGGAAGGTCAGCTATGAGCACCCCCTCTCGCCCGGTCCGAAGACCGGCCTCTACTAACCGTGATATTCTGTTTTGAAAACGTTTATGTGTTCTTATTCTGGTTATTAGCCTAAAATTACTATGTTATGCGCACAGCAAACAACTATAGACCAAATCGCCTAAATTGGAACAAAACATTTCATGTTTGTTTTGAAAATGGTTTGCTATTCACAAGTAGGCTGAAATGCAGGTTTTGCCAGCCTCAAGTGGGCTTTAAAATTCACAGTTTTAATGTGTTATCCCAATTTAAGCAATTCGACCTCCATCCACAGGCATTCAAGCAGTAATATCACGTAAGCAACTAGCCTCATGGTAATCATGCTATCATGGCAACACTCACACGCATGCAAGGATGCTAAAGCATAAAGACATAAAATGGGCAGAAACAAAAGCGTAAGATAAAATACATGATTCGTAAATCAAATACTTGAGCAAAAACAGCAGCAGCAACAGATAAATGAAGCGAAACTTCTTGAAAAGCAACAAGAAACTGAAACAAGGAGTAACAGTGACTTACCAGAAAAAAGGAAGCCGATGTTGAGTTCGTCGAAGTCAGACGAACGGCAGCAGCAGAGAAGAGTAGCAAGAGTCTCACCGGAGGACGTGAACAACGGTGGTAACAGAGCTTGAAAAGCTTGGAACAATGGAAGATTTGAAAAGGCTAGAGAGAGAGAGTCTCTGAAACGATGTAAAGTATAAAGACGACGGAAAGAAACAAGTTTTGTCAAAACTTGAAACGGCGGCAAAAAGGAAAATTAATGCGCCTGGAACAACGAATGCGTCAGACGGCGCATGTAGGCGCAAGACGACTTGCAAATGCGTCTGGAGTACGATCCAGTAAGGGGAAGACACGTGGCTAAAAAAGTTGAGTTATTTTGCATGACAGCTCATACGCGTGAAGGAGATCTTGGAATCTTTAAAACCTTAAAGAGACATGTCGGCCTATATAATGATCTCGGCTAAGAGACTTTAAATCGATATATTGACAGGAAGTTCTGGCCTAGGTTCTATTACCTCAGAATGCCAAGGTAATAGAACCTAGGGGGCAGTTGTGGGGATATATTTTCTGAGTACCAACACGTGGCCAAGGTGACGCCGACGTGTCAGCCGAGGTGCCACGTGTCCTGGTCATGACGCCGAGGTTATCTCGGCGACGCCGAGGTTATCTCCGAAGATATCGGAATCCGAGATAAGCGGATAAGGCACAAGAGTCTTGAATGAGGAAGGACTTTAGTATGGATAAGGATAACACCCTTAGGGAGTTTATCTTTATCTCTTAGAGAGTCTAGGATAAGCACTGAGCAGAAGTCCATTGAAGCTAGGCTTCTATGGGGACTAGGATTGAGTTAATTATAAAAGAAAGGCACCCCCGATAGGTCTAAGGTACGCAATTTATATTTTGAACAATGAGTTTAGCACTATTGATTATCTTTAAGAGATATATTGACTTGATCGTCGAAGTGCCCCCGGGTGGACGAACCACCGCCGGAATCTTCTCTTGCTGTTGCAGGTCAAACATGTGCCATCTATTCTGTCAATGTTCTCCAGCTGAATACTGAGTTGACAGTGTGATCGGAAAATTACTCACACATATTGAATTTTGAAACTCTCATAATATCTTTCCTTAAAAGTATTCTTTTATAAAATATATAAATATATAGATAATCTCAATATCACTCTTACTGGTCCTTCATACAAAAATTGCGAGATAATTATGATGATTTTTAATTTGTATTTAAAACTTATAAATTATGAGATAGATTATTATAATTTTAAATTTATATTGTGTCGATTTTAAATTTAGCGAGGAGCCTTATGAAAGTTTCAATAACTCATACTAATTTTATCTCCATTTATTAACTTTTATTTGATAATCTCACATATGGAAAAGAAGGGAAAAAAAAAGAGAGTTCGTTTTACTCATATAAAAGTAAATCTTATACTCATCTTATTTAATGAAGAGTCTTGTGAGAGTTTCAATATCTCATACTAATTTTCTTTATTTTTTTAATTTTAAACAATTAAAAAAGAAAAATGATGCAGACCACTAATTAGTGGTTGCACTAGGGATGTGGCAGTAGGTCCCACCCACTGCCACATGTGTTTTGTGTCTTAGTTTTTTTTTTTTTTTTTTTTACTTGCCACATCATTAGTAGTGGTGTTAGTGGTAGGAATTTAGTAGTATGTAGCATTGTTGATTAAAAAAATCTTAATTGGTTAACTTTTATTTGATAATCCCACATCTGGAAAATAAGGAAAAAAATGAAGTGTTCTTTTATAAAATATATAGATATATCGATAATCTCAATATCACTCTTACTGCTCCTTAATACAAAAATTATGAGATAATTATGATAATTTTAAATTTATATTTAGAACTTATAAATTATGAGATAGGTTATTATAATTTTAAATTTATACTGTGTCGATTTTAAATTTAAATTAATATATTATTTTTCATATTTAGTGACAGCTTAAATTTTAATAAAATAAAATTTAAAAGTTTTAATTAATTAATTTTTGTGTAAGCTGGTTAGTCTTTTGACCTAATTGATTAAGCTAAACCATTTTTGGTTTGAATAATTTGTTGGTTTAGCTGTGATTTTAGTGATTTTACATGTTACGATGATTCTTTCATACTCATTAAGTTTTTAAAATTTCTGTAATTATTTCCCTTTCAGCTTAGGGTTGGAATCGTAACTCACTACTTTATTCTAATCGTGGCAAATTAAATGGCGTAGGCGGAGGCAAAAGGAAATAAAAATAATTAAATATAAAATTTATTTCATTCTACTATTTTAATAAGGGAAAATACTTCTATAGGGCTTTTATTATTTTATTATTCAGTGACCGGCCCTAAGTAAATACAAAAAGGAGCAAAAATAAAATTAAAAAAAAATAAAAGAAAAACAAAATAGTGGTTCAATATCAAATTCTCGTGCGGGTTCCACTATGTGAGGTTATGAGTCTCTCTTACATCTCGTCACCTAAAGGGTAACAGGTATAAACACACAGCAGAGTGAGAAATATTATACAAGGAGTATAGGGAATACAAAATAACTATGGATTGTTAGTTAAGGTAAAACATTTACATAACTTAATTTGAATAAACAAATTATTCAAAGCGGTAGAAACTGAAAATACGAAAATTATATAAATAAATAACCATAACTACGGTACAGAACAGAACAAAGGTCACATGAGTGACAGTCAGAACAGAGGTTAATGGATTCACGACAAACAGGCCAAACAGAGGCCAATGGTTATTTAAGTCTCCCAAGGCATGTGACTCTCGTAGTACTTACAAAACATAATTATTTATAAGGTCATAGTCAAATACCTTCTAAAATTGAAACAAACATATCCATGGATTTCATTTTAAACAAATAGAGTTCAGAAATTAATCTACATAATTTGAATATTAATATAATTTATAAAGTATAAACTTGTATAAAATAATTTATGGTAAGTCAAAACATAAGAAAAATATATTATGGTAACTCAATATATAATATAACTCATCTTAATATTGATCACTATCACAACCTTCTGTAGTATCATGGGTGCCTTTTTTTATTTTTTTATTTTTTTTTCTTGTGTTCTTGCACATCTCCTCCCTATGAGGCAAATGTATCACCAGGCCAACACGTAGCACAGCTCAAATCCCCCTAGATTTGATCATAAATTACCACAGATTTATGCTTATCTTAACAAATATTTGTGATAATTACACTTTGCCCCAATTTTCTAACATAACTATATAAACAAATTAATCCCAAATTAAATTACACTTTATCGCATACAAACAGAAAATTAATTATTTATTTTACTACTATACCCATTATTATTATTATTATTATTATTATTATTGGTTGTGGTATTAATTAAATATTTAGGGTGTTACAATAATTAAACATAATTTTAATTATTAATTGTCAATATAACAATTTTAATCTATCTATATTATAAATTATAGTAATGAACATTTGAAACAAAATCCTTAAATTTATATACAAAATTTTATTTATGAGAGATAAAATATAAAAAAAATATAATTATTTATATATATATATATAGTACTTATTCTGTGATGTTAGGAATTTTTAAAAATTATCAAATATTTTATAATAATATTTATATGAAATGTGGACACATAAGATGTGAATAGTATTAGGGGTGAATAGTGGATATACTGATTCGTCAAAACTGACCGAACTGAACCGATCCGTCGCATTTTGGACGGATGCGTGATGACGAGCGGACGGATGGTGGATTTGAGATTCCTTTGGTCGTAACCGAACCGCTAAACCGTGAACACTCCTAGTAATTTATAAGATTTTGTGTTTTCAGTTTGTTTAAATATTCAGTTTGTGTTTTCAATTAAAAAAGAGTTTAAATATTTTGTTGAAAAAAAGTTTTCAACTTGAATATCTTTTTGGGAAAATTATTTATAAGTTTTATTAGGGAGACTTATGCTTCATATGATCCTACTAAAAAACTTATGTTCCTATAAGTCCTGTGAGAAGTTTGTTGACATATTTACCCTCAATATTAGTTTTTAATATTATAAATAATAGTAAAACCATATATAGGAAATTGAATGTTACTATAGATCATATCTATATAAACGTAACATAATGTGACACCTACATAAACGTAACGTGATATATCTACATAAATGTAACGTAACGTAACGTGACACCTATGATCTATGACAACATTCAATTTCCTATATAGAAAATTGAATGTTACCATATATCATATTTATATGAAACGTAGCGTGACACCAACATAAACCAGCAACATTTTCATATTTAATTTAAAAAAATAAAAAACTCATTAAGTTTGCGAAACGTAACGTGGCACGTTACGTTACGTTTATGTAGGTGTCACGTTATGTTACGTTTATATAAGTGTCACGTTACGTTACGTATATGTAGGTGTTACGTTATGTTACGTTTATGTGAGTATCACGTCATGTTACGTTTATGTAAGATCTTGTAGAATACATTTCTATTTAAATAGGACTTGAGACTCTATAAGAAATTACACAAGACTTAACCTAGCATAAGTGTTTGAAAAATGACTTATAAATAAGTCTTCCTATCTTTTTTGAATTGAAAAAAATAAATATATTATTTATCTATATTTTTTAGTTTTTAAATCTATCTCTAAAAATAATAAATAGAAAATATGATATATGTTGGTTGGTTTTTGTTTTCAAAAACATATATAGATGTAACAATACAGAGACATACAATCTCTACAATTACTCTGTTCATGGTTTTGGTAGTTTGAATTATTTTTATATTTTAATGTAGATGAGACATGTTGTGATTGTAATATGTTGATGAGACATGCAGTGATTGTGATATTCTAAAGTTTCAAACTTTCTTGTTTTGAATAAGACATGCAGTGATTGTAATATTTTTTTAAGTCATTAACTATAATACTTTTTTTTTTTTTTTGAAAAAGTGCATAAGTTGAATTATGTTGAAAATTTATAAAATTTTAAACCGCCAAACCGATTCGCATCTATTCGCCAAACCGTCAATCCGCTCAATCCACATCCGCCGGATTGGCCGACGGATGTGGATTGATTTTCTCAAATCCGTTAATTTGGCAGACGGATGACAGATTAGAAGTTTCATAATCACAACCGACCTGCGCCCACCCCTAAATAGTATGGATATCACACCTGTGAGAGAAATAAAATAATAAGTAAAATAATTGGGTACATTTAAGATTACTTATACCATGTTCTCGTATCGGAGTGAGATCAAATCGTTTAAGAAGAGTTTTCGATTAAAATTAAAAATAATAATTTTGTAATATTTTGCCACTATATTCCAAGTACAACTTTAAATAAGTGATGTTTAAAAAAAAAAAAAAAATCTTACAGACACTTTTTGAAAATAGATTACCAAATAAAATTTTCACGTTTTGAATTTTCAAAAAAGTTTTTGAATTTTTTTAGTTTTTTATTTTTTGTATTTCACTTGATTTTTAAAATATTTTATTCAAATTTTAATTTTTTTTAAATACACTTAATCTAAATTAAGTAAAATAATTGTGAAAAAAATATATAAATAATTCAATAAATAAAGAAATATGAAAATGTATTTTTTTTAAGTGAATATTTTAAAGTTTTTTTTTTCACATATTTTTTAATTTTTATAAATTAAGTTATTTTTTCACATACTTTTTAATTTTTATAAATTAAGTAATTTTTTTTAAAATTAAATAAAAATAAAAAACGAATTAAAAACACAAAAATCTTTTAAAAAACTCTAAAACAAAATAGACTTTAGGAAAACAAACATACAAACAAAAAACAATGGTCCAAAACTAAGTCGGGCCTGGGTTAACCTTGGGCCTTAGCAGCCCCATCCGAATTCTGTTTTACCATTCAAGCACAGCACACGAGTGCATCTCTGAAACTGTCGAGATATTTCTGGATAAAAAGAACCGACTACAAAACGCTCTCTCTCTCCCTCTCTCCCCCCCCTGTTTCAATTCAATCTTCTCAGAAAATGATAATCGGTAGCAATGTCAGTGGTGGCGCGTCGAAGAAGAGGCAGCGCGTGGGGAGCAACAACCGTCTCTCCTCCACCACCGCCGTCATCGACTCCTCCCGCCCCGACGGAACCCTAACCGACTCCTCACGCAAACCGCCGTCTCTCCGCCGCTCCAATTCTCACTCATTACTCCCCTCCTCCTCCGCCGCCGCCGCCGCTAGTGGCGGATTCAACGACTCAGCCACCGCTGACGTCATCCTCCGCCTCTATCTCGAACTGCCATCGCCATTCGACTCCGACGACTCCGCCGTCGGTTCCGTGGACCAAGCTGAATTTCAGGTCTACCTGCACTCCGATGTCCTTCGCAGATCGAAGTATTTCGCTGCGTTGTTATCGGATCGATGGAAGAGAGAGTCCGGCGATATGGATCCCGAGAGCTCTCGGAAAATCTATCGGTTCAATTTGGGCGTTGCGGCCACAACTGGATCAATCGACAATCATTTGACTGTTCTTCAGCTTCTTTACACGAATGATTTCTCGACTGTGATCGATTGCGTTTCGACGGCTCTCTTGATACTTCCCGTGGCTCTCGAGCTTCTGTTCGAAGATTGTGTTAGGTCTTGCGTTCGATTTCTCGAGGCCGTGCCGTGGACTGAAGAGGAAGAGAAGATGATTCTGAGTTTTGTTCCTTTTTTAAGAGACGAAGAGTCTAAGGAGCTTCTCGCTAGGGTTTCGCCTGCGAAGAACGATTCATCTGTGGAAATGCTTCACGGATTGATTCTCACGGCAATTCATAACCATCCAAACATGGCATTCGCAAAAGCTTTCGTAGCGAAGCTTTTGAGGGACTTTTCGTCGAGGGAATCGGCACGGAGAGTGTTGGATTTAGCGTTCGAGACGAGTTTGAAGATCGTGAAGGAGTCATTGGAGGAGTATTCAAGCCCGGCTTTTAGAGGAGACCATAATGAGACGGAGGCTATTCAGAGGTTGAATTTGCATACTGCGATGACGAATGGGAGGCATCTGTTGTGGTTGATCGAAAGGATGATTGAGTTGAGAGTGGCAGATAATGCCGTGAAGGCGTGGAGTGAACAGGATTCATTCACGGCGGATTTGCAGAGGGCATTTCGAGATGATGCGTGGAGGAATATTGTGCCGGGACTTCCGGCTGTTGTGCTTCGATGCACTTGCAAGCTTGCCAACGCTGTTGCTGCTGGAACCATTTTGGCTGATAGACAGGTTCTGCTTTTCAGCCTGTTATAACTATTTTATCCAAAAAGATCATTACATAACTGTTTGTCATTAGAGTTGATTTTGTTTTGCTTATTGAACAAAACTCTTCTTTCAATGTGCTTGTTATGGGTTAAGAGTGCAATGTGATATGAATGATATTTTGTTGTGCTAATCTCTCTTACAGTCCCTTTGGATTGGATGATTTGGGTAGAACAAAAAAAATTAAAACTTGACATCTCTTGGCCCTAATCACTTATTTGGATTACTAAATTGAAATGTCTAGGTTTACTTGCTGCTTCATCATTACCCATGTGCCCTATCTTTGTTGCTTGTTTTGACTAGCAAACTGTGGTGCAATATTGTTCTCTGGGCAAGTTGAATGATTTTGACTTTGCGTTTTGAGTTTGGAGCACCTGTCATTCTTTTTTGGTGATTTTCCAGAACCAATGCTAGCTGATCACTTAGTTATTGTATTCCTAGTTACTCATTGCTGCCTAAATTACTGTAATTGTTTATAAATTTTTGGACCATGGGGATACTTGCTCATCTGATTGTTCAAAGAATGACAAAATACTAATTTCAGAATACTTATCAAAAAAAAAAAAAAAAAAAAAAATTTATTTTTGGACCATGGGGATACTTGCTCATCTGATTGTTCAAAGAATGACAAAATACTAATTTCAGAATACTTATCAAAAAAAAAAAAAAAAAAAACTAATTTCAGAACAAAATTTATCAATTCAAGTACAACTTTTTTGTTTTGAAAAACCCGGGCTCGTGACTCACTGATAGCTTGTTGACTTTGATTGATATCGAACACTTTATTTTCTCCTTCATCCATTATTTTCGTCTTTTGTTTATTTTTTTATATTATTTTTATCATTTGGCCCCCATTCATCTATGAGAATTTGCAACTTTTCATTAACATTGCCTTGTGTACTTACGTTTTCTATCCAAAAAGAACTCTGTTTTAGATTTTCTGAACTCTCCCGTTGCTCGTCTTTGTGCAGTTGCATGTTTTGTTTTGTTTTGTTTTGTTTGTTTTTTTTTGAAATTTTTTTTAATACCTTTCTTTGTCATGTATCTTCTTCTTTCACTTTTGATTTCTTTTGCAATGAGTTAACATGGTAAAAGAGCACCATTATAAGACTTTCCAATATATTGATTCTTCATAGCCATGAATGTTGTGGTCTTGTTGCTATTTTGTTGTTGCTCTTCTTTTCTTTTTTGGATAAATTGGTGCAAGTCTACAACAAAGATGTTTTTTCTTTATTATTATTTAATTTTTTGATTGGCACCGGGGTGTTCGGATCAAAATCCAATTAATCCCCAGAGGTGTACAGGCCCTCGGCAAGGAGTTTGTCAAGTGCACCACGGTTAATTCAAAGGAAAACTAGCCCTAAGGAATTGTTAGCAATTAAGAGGTTTCGATCCTTGCTCATTGAAGGGAGCATCCCAAGACCCACGGCCTTGCCATCCCAAGACCCATGGCCTTGTCACTAGGCCAACCCCTTGGGGTTATGTTTTAATAGTTTTAATATATTTATCTGCTATGAAATAAGAAAAGAACAACAAATCAAAAAGAAAAAAAAGATTATTAATTTTTAAAATATCATTATTTTGGTAGTTCAAAAAAAAAAAAAAAAATCATTATTTTGATTTTTAAACATTTATGTTTGTAAATTGTAAGTTTTCATAGAAGTGTTTAAGGTGGTGGATTGCAGTTCTACTTGTGCATAGGTTACATGAGACCTTGACACCTTATGGTGCCCAAGCCTTCAATAATTATGCCCAACTCTTTAATTAGGTAGTTTTCAAATTTAGGTCTGATATTTTTATTTTTATTTTTAATGAATAATACCCACAAGGTTCATCTATTAAAGGGAGCTAAGTTTTTAAAGTATGATAGTCACATTAACATATATATATATATATATATTAAAATGCCAAGAAGATTTGTTGACTATTTGGGAACAGTTTTACTCCATATGTAGTAACTTGTTAGTACACGTGGCTGGCTTATTTAAAGGATCAAAATTTGTAATATAACAGATCCCATTTGAGAGAGCACTTGTATATACCTTTAGTATCATTGAATGATTTTTAACAGCATGATATGTATACCATCTCTGTGGGATCCAAAGACATGGGACAAAATCAACAGTTTATTCATTCAATTGAGTATTTTATATGTGCAGTTTATTCTTAAACGGAGTTGATTGTATGTCCATTATTCAATCCTTTAATAAGTAAGCTCTGTATGCTGACGCATATCTATATATGGAGTATATTGTTTCTAGTTTTAATTTAAATGGTGGTTCTACTTATTTCAATTTAAAGCGAAAGACATGATCTCAATTAGTTATGTCAGCAATGTGGATCCATTTCCTTTAAGTTGACTCAAGTAGAGCCATGTTGCCTCTTGAGCATCAAAATTATATATTATAATTAGTTTTTACTTCATTTTCTTTCCCTGCTTCTTCTTACCATTTTTCTTCCCCAAATTCAAGATCTGAACATGACCTCAATTTCGGTTTCAGCATAATTCCAAACAGGCTAGATTTACAATAGTCTTGAGAATAAAGTAGTTTTTCTGTGTTTATTTTTGTAGTTTTGTAAACCAGAAGCAATAGCTTAAAGTTGGAGATTCAAGTTAGCAATTGCTTCACTGTACCTTTACAGGAAACAACAAAATTAGGAATGGTGTAAAAAGAGCTTCTACAAGGAATTTTCATACCTTACATGATGACATGGCTTCTTCATATCTTATGGATGAGGTTTCTGTTGTCAAAACTATGAATACTGAATTGTCTGGTTGGAAGTTCAGAACTTCGATCCAATGCTTTTTGTTGAAGGATGGTAGTTCAATTTTTTTTTCCCCATATTATTCATCGACCACTTTTGTTTGTAAAGAGTAGCCATTTCTTCTAAACTTAGTGGGTAGTTAGTTTAGGTAGATGACTTGCATTATTTTTCATTCTCTGCCACAGGTTAGGATGAAGCTCGTTAAAGATTGGCTTCCAGTGTTGAATGTATGCAAAGATCACGTCTCGCCCATGCTGCCCAGTCATAAATCACTGTATTTGGAGCTCGAAGAAACATTCCTGAAAATTATCTCTACACTGCCCATGTTGGATGCACAGGAATTGTTGCAGCAGTGTCTCAGCTTCTCAACTCGAAACGTTGAAGACTGTCCGCATTTGGTAACTGCATTCAATACCTGGTTCCGTCGTGCAACTCGTCCCCCACAAGCCGAAAATCTTTGTGAGTAGGGTTTTTAATAGTCAGTGTTTGTTCTACCATAGGTTTCATGCCTTTCCTGTCAAATATTGTGCATATTGATCTGATGTTAGGGTGTAAAACTGATGACTGTGTACATAGACCTTGGTCTCTCATGAAAGCAAACCATGTAAAGCATCTGTAGTTCGAGGAAATAAATCTTTGAAGGCTGTTGCTGAGCCAACTGTTTGTGGCTGGTTTTTAATGCCATTTGATAGACTTGATTCCTGAATACCATAATTATATATATAATATTTTTTAAGTTTCTGAATTTGTCCTTGTTCTTTGTAGATTTAGGCCTTGTTTGTCATAATCTAAAAAAGTCAAAAAAATCAAAAAGTCACTATGCTATTTAAGTCACATCACCTCTCTACCATATCACTTCAAACCCAACCCATACATAACCCATATTTCATAAAAAGTAAAAAAGTGTACGTATTTAGATTATTCCAAACCACCTCTTAATAAAATCCGAATCTGAATACATAATATGTAGTAATGATTTTGGATTAGGCATCACGTGGCTATCTTGAATATTGTGAATCTCCTCAATTTCTGAAACTTCTGAACTATATTGTATGGCATCCTGGTATAAACACATAATTTCTACCAATTGAAGAGATCTCTAAATCTTTCTCCATAACCAAAACTTACTGCTATCGTTGACAATTTTAATGAAACATAAACATTTAAAAAAATAAAAGTTCACAGTGATTATAGAAGTTAAGAGTTCACTACTTCCTACAAAATCAAGTGGAGGAAGTACCCGGAAAATTCTAACGTTGTTAGAAGTAGGGTTGTAAACGGACTGAACTGTTTGCAAATTAGCTTGGCTCGGTTCATTAAGAGCTCAGCTCGTTAAGGACGCGGTTTGACTCGTTTATTTTTGTTTAAATTATATAATAAATATATTATTTATATATTAAATAATATATAAATATATATAAATAATAGCATAAATACATAATTTATTAATTAAATAATATAAATAATATTTTTTATTTAAGGGGTTGTTTGGGATGATACAAGTAAGTATATTTTTGACTTTTTATAAAAAGATGTGCAGAAAAATAGAGAAGTGATGTGATTTAAAAAAGATAAAATGTGCCCTATTTTAAAGGATGCCAAATAGTCTCTAAATATCTTTATTTAAATAATATAAATAATAATAAAAACTTCTTATTGAGGTGAGTTGAGCCGAGCAAAGCTTGAGTTTCATTAATATTAACAAGTCGAGCTCGAGCCCAATTAGTTGTTGAGCTGAGCTCAATCTCAATAAATGAGCTCAATAAGTAAACAAGCTGAGCTCGAGCTCAGCAAAGCTCGGCTCGGCTCGTTTGTAGCCCTAGTTAGAAGTACCATTTTTATTTTGAATTAAAGCCTCAACTGCCACAAGCTGAAACCAAGGAAAACTGATGTAAGAAACACTTTAGGTTAGCAAGGTTTTGAATATGCTGGAGCATAAATAGATGATGTTGGGCTAGAAAGTCCAACAAGGATAGTATAGGCTATAATAGGCGCCTTCTGAAGTTTCTGGCAGTTCCCTGGTAGGTTTGAGCCAGCAAGCCCACACCCATCCCAATTCCAACACAAATGCTGAGGCCAATTCCAACACCTACCCTCACACCAGCATTGAACCATGACCTTTCTCCCTCTTCACCTTCTAAATACTCTGTCCCCGTATAAAGGTTGTCAAAATCGTCGTTTTCTGGGTTATAGTTCGGGTAATCCGATACCTGCAATTATAAAAGCAGATGAAAAAGAATAAACTCAGTAGCTGATTTTCAATACCCCTAAAGCAAACCAGCGTTTCATTCAAAGACAATCTGATACTGCTAGTTATCAAAATTTTAAAAATTCTAATCCATTCAACTTCAAAACATAATGTCTTGAATTTTGGAGGTCCTTGGGCATAGCATGTTTCCTCTCTTGGCCTAAATTATAATCCATCCACCTTGAGAGTTTATAAACAAATACAGATCTTCGGCATCGTCATCCATACTGAGATATATCATCCTCTTAGTATAAAAAAAAATGATCTTTCTTGATAAAGTTGGTTGATTAGGGTAAAATTGTGTCATCTATACGTAAATGTTGAAGAATATAGTTTGTTTCAAATAAATGCCAAGTAATTAATTAGACAATAAATGTGCATAGAATGAACAAAAACACACTAATGAGTAAGTAAAACAGTATTAAATATAATAACCATGTAGATAAGTAATTAGGTGTACAATGGCAGGTGAAGAGTTAAGTTAGAAAATAGTATAATAGTATTAAAGATATTGACAGTATAAGATAGTACTGCCATGGTGCCATGTGAGGTCCCGGTGGTGAATGAAAACAATGCCACTCAAAACAACCAAAAAAAAAAGGGTGAAATATTGTATTGTTTTATAACTTAGAAAAATGTGCCATACCCAGACTCTATTGACCCGCCTAGGATAAGATTTCATATGTATTTTGATTGGTCCAAAATTGTGCAGCCTACAAGTTTGAGTCTAGATCCCCTCCTTGATGCCCCTCCTTCAGTAGTTGTAGATCCAACGGCTATTAAAAAAAAAAAAAATTTAAAACAAATTCATTTTCGTTTTCCTACCCAATCAAGACCACAACTTATACAATTTTGATATACACTCACACAGGCAAACACACACAGAGGGAGAGAGAGAGTCCACTGAACCTAGCCTCACTGGCGACCGGCGACCCACTCCCGACGACGGCGACCCACTCAATATATAGACCCAGGAGGAGGAGATCCTTTACTCTCTTCAATTAAAAGCAACGTTTTCTCTCCCCCAATTTCTCCAGTTGCACTATTGTATTGTCTATGACCACGCCATCTGAAACCACCACTCTCACCCCACTGTGCAAGCAGCCATGGAGAAGATGTTGGCTTAGTTGAAGAGAAACTCCCCTTGTATGTCGTGAGATCTCATAATGGTTCTCACCACCATCCGCCACCATGAACCGACAGCTAACACTGTCCATAATAACCACTATAATGCACATTGCATTTTATCTTCTTCTTTTACCTTGATTTTGGCAACAAATATTCAAGTATTTGATTAAAAATCTGAGTTGCACAATGCACTGCAAGTGTTTGTAAAAATGTCTGAACGAATATGGTGTTTCATTTTCTCATCCTTTAGCAAATTATAGTATAAGGTTTTGTTAGTGAGAGAAAGGGATGCTAAAATTAGACCCGTGGTCAACTCTAACAATGTTTTGTCTTTGTAAACCAATTGAACATTGGATTTGATTAATTGGTTGGATGCCTCTTATGGTGTAATGTTCTTCCTTTTTATTTCATATGTAATGTTCTTCCTTTTTATTTCATATATATCCCTTGTATATATACACATATATTCAAGATTGATAAATGAATTGTGATTTTTTTTTTTCATGTGGTGTCAATGTATATATCTTTATACATGTGCCCACTTTGGCTAATGATTTTGATCTTTAGATTTTCTCTCCCATTAATATCTATCAGTATGTATGCACCAAGGTAAAAAAGTCAACCCAAAAAAAAAAAAAAAAATCGTTATAGGTTCAACAAAATGTTCTTTATCATTGTCATACTAGATGGTGTTTTGATATTTAGTTTTGATTAAAATGGACTTGCAACTGTATTTTTTAGACAATTGATTACAAGTTTATTATTTTTCAAATATTTGTTCAGGAGAGTAAGGAACGATGATAATTGATGCATATAGTATAATCCAAAAATGATGTTATATATATTTTTCAATAGGCCAACACTTAAAATTTTCTGTAAAAGAATGGGAAATTATAACACTGGAGGAGATCGATCAAGATTAACATTCTGATTGTTTCCAGCATTAGGTACCAGGAAGGATTCTAATTCATTGCCATCACCAGTAACATCTAAGCAATCACCTTCAAGCACAACTAAATTTGCTGGAGGCTTTGCAAAGTGATTCAATTGAGCATCTTTGCAAGTTGCACTATCTAGGGAGTTCTTAGCTTCCACTGCAACATGACACAAGTTTTAGCCAAAAAAAAAGGCACTCTTAACTCTTTACCCAAAAAAACATTGACACTAACAGGCTACTTGGGACATCATCTAAACCCCAGAACTGATCATTTTCTTCATCAGGTACTGCATGAGAACCATTTTCTTCTGGTTGGACTGATGCACCCTCTGGTTGATCATGCTGCCTATTCAAATGTTGCATCAAATAAAAATGACTTGAATATGTTGTTCTTCAGTTTATGTTTTACTTCCCTTCTTACCTAATGACACATTTTCCAATTGACCTAAATATCATTTACTATCATATTAAGGTTGATTACAGGTGTGGCGGCAGAGATGACTTAAATTTATTATCACATAGATAATAACAAATTCTTCACGGAATATATCAAAAATACTTCTAGTATTGCTCGCCATAACTATTTTGTTCACACCAACTTCGTTTATGAGGTTAGTGATGTTTAAATAACACACCTGCTTCAATTGTATGGATTTCTAAGAATAGTTCCAAATGGGTTAGAGAAAACACTCTATTAATGCTTTAATCAGAAAGAGTGAGATTTGATCCAAGTTGGCAGAAAATTTCCATTCACTACAAAACATAAATAAAATAAAAAATAATTTGCACTTTATATCAGAAAAAATTAACAGAGTATGAGGAACTTTAACCAAAATGAAACAACTATCCAGTTAGACATTTCTACAAACATTTGCAGTGCATTGTCTAACCCAGATTTGAAATCAAACAACTATGTCTACTTTGTGCCAACAAAAAAGAAGGGGAAAATGAAATAGTGCAAGGCACATCCACTGAAATCCAACTTCATATGGTGGTGGAAATGTTCTTGGTAGCAATGGGTGTGGACGTTTTAAACTTCAATCATCTTTTGTAGGAAGCTTCCCCAAACAGGTCGCCTAACAAGGGTGATCTCCTCTTCTTGGGTCTATATATAGAGTGGGTTGCTGGTCATCGGTGAGGCTGGGTTCGGTGGAGACTCTCTCTCTCTCTCTCTCTCACACAGTGTGTTTGCCTATGTGAGTGTATAAAGCTATATAAGTTGTGGTCTTGATTGAGCGAGAAAACGAAAGTGAATTTGTTTTATTTTTGTTTATTTATTTATTTATTTTTTATAGCTGTTGGATCTATAACGGCTGATCTCAGCCGTTGCAAGTAGGAAATGAAGGAAGGGTACACTACAAGAATTTTTACTTTTGGC